AGCCCCAAGGCTCCTTCATTCAATTGGGGGGTTGGAGGGATTCCTGTTCCTGCACAACCACACTGCTTCTCCAAGGGCCTAAACAAAATGTCTAAACAAAAGACTTACTAACAACTTTTTTAAAGCTCTTCAGGGTAAAACACCCAGAGTAATCCAGCAATGGTTGCTTAGTGCCCCCTCCCTTCCAGAAACAAGGATCGCAGAAAGCAAATTAGGGGAGAGAGCGGTTTATTTCGGCTTACAGGTCCGGGTACAGTACATTATTTTGGGAGATGTCAAGGAAGAATTTCAAACAGCTAGCCTCGTGCCATCCCCAGGCCAGAGAGGAGAGAGATGGGAGCATTCATAGGCACTTATGCTCAGCTTAGGTCTCCACTCGGGTACTTCAACACCCTGAGCCTAGAGGATGGTGCTGCCCACGGGCGGTTGGGGCTTCCCACCTCAATGTCAGTTAAATTTAATGAAGACCATCTCCTCGCAAACCAATCCAATCTAGACAATCTCTCATTGAACCGCTCTGGGCAGAGGATTCTCGGTTGTGTTAGCGATTTGTGCTGTTACAAGGCTTCTCTCTGAATGGCCGAGTGAGCCCAAGCTGACTTTCTTTCAGCTTTTCTCTGCTTTTGAAAATCGTCTCCTGTGGTTGGAGGATGTGGTTCAGCGGTAGAATACTTACATAGCACATTTGAGGCCCTGGTTTCAATTCCCAGCACTATAATAAATAAGCCAACAGCCTCCTACACATGAAGAATATTCTAGAAGGGATGGAAGACCTCATTATCACAGAAGCCTGCGGTCCTTCTCTTGGCTAGAGCCCTTTCCTGATCTTGGGATAGAGCTTTTCCTGGGAGCCTGAGCAGTTGAATGGATCTGGGCAGACAAAAGGTCACGTGCTGCAGCAAGTCATCTTTAATCGAAAACAAAGCAGCGATTTAAAAGAAAGATGGGATTTGCCAGGCCTGGGGCAGCGAGTCTGGAACGCTGAACTCAGAAGGCCACGGAAGAGATTCACAAGTTCAAGCAAGGCCTGTGTGGGCTACAGGATGAGTTTAAGGCCGGCCCGTGTAACTCAGCAAGACTCTCACAAAATGAATAATTTAAAAAAGACCAGGGAGTACTTTCCAAGCAAGCTCCAATAACACAAGGGGGAAGGAAAATCATGCTTAGAGTACCCCTCTTTGTGTCCTACACTTCTGAGTGTCTCCATAGTCCTTGGCGTAAATACACATATTCCCGAAGGTCATTTAAGCAAATATACTTATTCCCAACCCCACACATTTCTGCATCCCCTTCCTTGCTTAGTGCATCTCCTACTTTCTAACACAGTATATAATTTATCTTGTGTCTGTTCTTTTTAAGAATTTATTTATTTGTTTCACACACATGTATGTGTGTGAGGATGTCAGATCTTGGAGTTACAGTTGTTTGCCGTCCCGTGGATGGTGGGAATCAAACCTGCTGAGCCATCTCTCCAGCCCCCTTACTCCTGTTCTGATGGGAAGGTAGGCTCAAGTAGGCTGTTACTAACTTAAACGCATATTTATTTTTGTGTATAAGTGGGTGCAAGTCACCTACACAGGTGAGCCAGATTGCTCCTCAGAACTTCTGCTCTCCCCTTGCTTTTTTAGACAGGGTCTCTCCCTGGCCTAGAACTCAGCGACTGCACTGGGCTGGCCGGCTAGTGAGCTCCAACGATGTGCCTATCCCTGCCTCTGTAGTGCGAGTCTTAGAAGCATTGGTTTATTTTTAAATTTTAATATTTTTGTTTTGGTTCTTGTTAATTTTTTTTTTTTCTCGAGACAGGGTTTCTCGGTGTAACAGCCCTGGTTGTCCTGGAACTCGTTCTTGCAGACCTAGCTGGCCTCTAACTCACAAAGACCTGCCTGCCTCTGCCTCCTAAGCGCTGGGATAAAAGGCATGATACACCGCCGTGGTGGATCTCTGTGGGTTTGAGGCCAGCCTGACTTACAGAGAGAGTTCCAGGACAACCAGGACTACACAACAAACAAACAAACAAAAGGATTAAATTCCGGACCTCAGAAGATAAGGAAAGCAAGCCCTTTATCTAGCCATTCTTGCGTTTTTTCATTCACATTCCTTTCCTGGAACCTGGAGGGAGTGAAGAAATGAAGTAAGGCCTCTTAGTTGAGCAGACACCGAGTAGTGCTGCCTCAGTGACTGCAAGTGACTGTAGGAAGATCTGAACCCAGATAAGCAACTGTAATTGTGAGGGTTAGACTCTATGATACAGACCTCAGAGAAGAAAGAATGTAATTCATTCATCTTGTGAATGGTTAACTAGTAAACCACCCAGCCTGTAGAAGGACAAAGAAAGAGCCTTAACCTCCTTGAGTGTGTGCAACAGAACGTGCGGCCAGAACTCCCAAGGTCCAACTCAGCAACTTGAAGTCTAGTGCATCTCCAGGAAATGGAAACTTCAGTATCTTTGGAGCTGCTCAGCTTGGGCCTGACCTCAAGTCCTGAGCGCATTCCTTGTTACCACATACCTTCAGGCCGGTTCCTTAATCTCCCTTATCTAATTTGTGTTAAATTTTCGGAAGACTGTCCAAAATTATTCTGGTAGACAGAAACAAGGCCGTGGCCACCCAATAGTACATTTCCATATACACTATTTCGTCTGTCTTGGTTTGGTGCAATGAAGCAAAACATTTTTTTTTTAATCTGTTTGTTTATCCGAGACAGGGTTTCTCTGTGAACAGTCCTGACGTCCTGGATATCACTCTGTAGATAAGGCTGGCTTTGAACTCACAGCAAAATTCTGAAAGGTAACAAACAGCAAGAAGTTCGACCCTATCTGGATCCACCCAGCTAACAGCTAAACTGTCATTGAGCCTGGGCTAGGACACCTCCTGTTTTATTAAACTGGAGTGAATTAAACTGCTCCCGGCAGTTCTCTGAGGGATTGGCTGCAAGCAAGAGAATCCGGGCAGGCTTCAAAGAGAGCGTTTCGGTCAGGAAATGCCCCCCCCCCCAACAAAACAAAAACAAAAGTTAAAGGGCTCAAGCCATTTTGCAGGTTAGCTCAGAACATAGAAACACACTAGCGGACGCCACACATCTCCACGCACTTCATTGTGACCACTTAATATTACAGCGGCCCTGCAAAAACACCAGAAGGATGACCAGGAGAAAGAATGGAACCGAGTGCAGTTAGATTGAAAAGGTCTATTATCTTGGAGGAAGTGGGAGGTAACGCAAACTCAGAAACACAGGTGCAAATCCTTCGCTCTCCACGCTCAGTCAATACGTTAGGATCATCCTCCCTAATCTCGGGTGGCTTCTCTTTTTGGTAAAAAGATACTCAGCTTCTTCCCTCTTCTTTTTGGAGTTTGAGATTCTTTCTTCACGTTTCAGAGGCTGAGCACCCCAATCTCCTCCCTAACCTTTGGTCCCCACTGGCTGAAACGTCTCGGGGTGGGAAAGCCTGTAACAGATGGGGAAGGATCCGGGGGCGTCAGCTGCAGCGCAGGCCTACCCCAGCGGGATCTGGAAACCATCCAGTGAATTATGGGCGTTTTGTTCCCAGCGCAGCCCAAAAAAGGCGCGGAGAGAGAGAGGATGGAGGCAACCCCCCATTTTCATCAAGACGCTCCTCCTGGGGCGCCTGCCTGCGGGAGAGCTCCAAAATTGGCAAATTGGATCTCGAAGTCTCCCTGTTTAGCCCACATTTCCCAAACCCCGGAGGAGGAGGGTGATTCAAAATGCAAATTGCATTGCGGGCGACAGCAGGTAGGACCCGGTTGCGCCGCGCGGGGCTGGGGAGATCCGGTGACCTTAGGCGCCCTCCGCGCCCCGGATCGGGAAGGGCCGCAGCCCGCGCTTCCGCCTCCCGACCGCGGCCGGACAATGAGCTGTTCCTTTCCGTGGGGCCGGGAGGGCAGACCGGATCGGGACCCGCGCCTTCCGCAGGGCCCGCCGTCGCCGCACACAGGTGGTTTTCCGTCCGCGAGGGGCGGCGGCGGCACTTTTATATAACAATAGAGCAGTGCGCGCCGGCAGGGAATGCGCCCTTGTCGCCGTCGCGGCCCCCGCCGGCCACGCCTCCATCCGGCTCCGGAGCCGCGCCGCCTCCGTCCTAAGTTGCTGGCGGGTGGTACTGGCACTGGCAGGGGAGGTTGTCCTTGAAACTCCCCCCGCCCTAACTTGGGAACCAAGGGGTCCCGACCCGGATTCAACTGGCTCTCCACCCGCCCTAGTACTCTCCCGAGGCGACAGTTCCGCGCTGACCCTTAGGCGATCTTAGGATGTCTTGGTGTCCCCCCCTCCCCCAGTGCAACCGGACTGTGGCCAGAAGCACAGCGCGCAAGCGCGTTTGGAGCTTCTAGAGTTCTCTGTGCGAGGCCCTGGCACGGCTGGAGCGGAGGAGGGATAGGAGACCGGTCTCCGTGTCCAAAGTAGCCAGTCGCCGTTTTCGCTTGAGTTCCTGTAGCCTGCGGGTCTTGCGGGAGGACTTCACCGCGCCTCCCGGATTGCGGGGATCGTTGGTGAGGTCAGGCGTCCCAGGCTCCTAGGCTAGGCTAGGCTAGGACCAGTTGCCAGACCGGTTCCTCTTAGAAGAGAGCAAACGTCTGCTCCTGGCCCCAAAACTTTTAAAGGTGCACAACTCCCCTGGTGGGTGACCGGTGACGGGGAGCAAGAGCTCCGGAACAATGGCTCGCAATGCACCACACCACCAGGAGCAAAAGACAAGGTTTTTTTTTCCTGCCCCCCCCCCAAAAAAAAAGCTGAGAAAATCTGGAGTTAAGGACCTTCTGGTTTTCTGGACAACCAAACGTTTGTTTGCTTAGTTGCCTTAAAATGTTTCAACAAAACCCTAGTTTGTTTCGAAAGATGTTGGATTAGCATTTAACACTTCGTCGGGTCACTAAAGCCCAGGCAGTCCACCAGCCCCAACACAGCCTCGGCTAAAAGAACATCAGAACAAACAGAGCTAGACTTTTTTAAAGAGCCAAATAAATGCCACACAGGATCTAAAGGGCGGGGAGTGGGGGGTATGGAGGGTTTAGAGTTTGGAGGGAATAAAAAAAAGGGTGGCGGAACCCATCAAGTTTTATTAAAGCTAGCTTGAGAGAGCAAAAGTCGCGTAAAAGGGTTTTTGTGCTTGCTAATTGCACCATTGGTGAGCAAAGAGTTCGACGCGAAGTGTGAACTCTCAACAGAAGGAAACACGAGACAACTGAAGTGCCCTGGTTTATGTGCCCTGCTCCTCCTCCACCACCACCACCACAACCGCCTCCTCTTCTTTCTCCTTCCTCCCGCCGAGCCCGCAGTTGCAGCTTGTTTGCACTGGGGCTTATCCGGAGCGGAAATTCCTTTCCGTTTTTGTGAATGACAAACTCATTAACAATTCATCAACACAACCTGTTCCAGCCGGCCCGTCCCCACGGCAACAGCCCCTTCCGCAGCGCGCTCATTGGCTGGCCGAGAGAATGTATCCATTGAGACGCTGGCTGTTTGTATCCATTGAGGAGCTGCCTCGCTTAGGGGGCGTGCTCTCCCGGAGTCCTTGGGACTGGGAGCAAACCGAGTCTTGAATCCAACCCGGCTGGATCTGAGGTGCAGCCTTAGAGGGAAGGATTAGGAGCCGCTAGATTTTTTTTTTCTTTTCTTTTTCCCCTCCCAGTGGCACGGAGTCCGAATTAATTGGATTTCATTCACTGGGGAGGAACAAAACTGGGTACCTTCATTCAGAGAGATTCGCTGACTCCAAGAGCGATCCCTGCAGCCCGGCGCAGAGGGACCACCGGCTTGCCTCCTGTGTCGCTTTCTCTAACCGGTAGCCTCGGCTTGGGAAAGGCAAGGCAGAATCGAACCCCGCTCCGAGAGCGGCAGCTTCGCGCGGCGTGCTCAGCCTATGCCTGCCTCGAGGGGCGTCTGCTAGGCACCCCGCCTTCTCCTGCAGCTCGACCCCCATGATAGATACGCTCAGACCCGTGCCCTTCGCGTCGGAAATGGCTATCAGCAAGACGGTGGCGTGGCTCAACGAGCAGCTGGAGCTGGGCAACGAACGGCTGCTGCTGATGGACTGCCGACCGCAGGAGCTGTATGAATCGTCGCACATCGAATCGGCCATCAACGTGGCCATCCCGGGCATCATGTTGCGGCGTCTGCAGAAGGGCAACCTGCCGGTGCGCGCGCTATTCACGCGCTGCGAGGACCGGGACCGCTTTACCAGGCGCTGCGGCACCGACACCGTAGTGCTCTACGACGAAAATAGCAGCGACTGGAATGAGAACACAGGTGGAGAGTCAGTCCTCGGGCTGCTGCTCAAGAAACTCAAAGACGAGGGCTGCCGGGCTTTCTACCTGGAAGGTAGGTCGTGAACCCCGGGTGCAGGGCTCCCGGGTAGGGCTGCGGTCTGGGGAAGTCGCCGGCGAGGTAGCTACCACGGCGTGCTGTCCGCTTAGGGGAGCTGAAGCCGCGTGGTAACCTCTCCTCCCTGGCCACCGACCTCTTGCTCCCTCTCCCCCTCCCCCCCCCGCTCCGCCAAGGGTTCTAAAAAACCAAGCACTATTAAAAAAGTGGTCATTTTATGCGTTTCCGGCTTCAAATGAAAAAGAGTTCCCTGGGGAAGCAGCCGGTCTTGTTCCTCAAGATGTATGCTAAAGTGTGTTTCTCTTAGAACCGCAGGGGGTTCATTGGGTGCCGGCCTCTAGCGTTCCCTGCATCCAGCTGCGGTTCTCACAGGCTGAAAATTACTATGGCATCTCTGGTTACAAGATTGCTTTTCTTGTTCTGGCAGGTGGCTTCAGTAAGTTCCAGGCTGAGTTCTCCCTGCACTGCGAGACCAATCTAGACGGCTCGTGCAGCAGCAGCTCCCCGCCCTTGCCAGTGCTGGGGCTCGGGGGCCTGCGGATCAGCTCCGACTCTTCCTCGGACATTGAGTCTGACCTTGACCGAGACCCCAATAGTGCAACGGACTCCGATGGCAGCCCGCTGTCCAACAGCCAGCCTTCCTTCCCGGTGGAGATTTTGCCCTTCCTTTACCTGGGCTGTGCCAAGGACTCTACCAATTTGGACGTGTTGGAGGAGTTTGGCATCAAGTACATCTTGAATGTCACCCCCAATTTGCCCAACCTCTTTGAGAATGCAGGGGAGTTCAAATACAAGCAAATCCCCATCTCGGATCACTGGAGCCAAAACCTGTCCCAGTTTTTCCCTGAGGCCATTTCTTTCATAGGTGAGACTTAATTTACAGTCATTCACGGAGTTGAAGATATTAATCTGTTTTCCAAGCCAGTTTGCTGGCCTCCAGGTCCCTACCATTCCTAGAGCGTTCTTATCTCTGGTTTACCTTCTTGCTAAAGGAAACGGGGCTTTTTGACTTAGCAGATTGTGGGGACCATTTGAAACATTTTCTCAAACTGTACATTTAAAAGGAGGCGGTTCCCACCTGGTGTGTATTTCCTTGACAGGGTGGGAGTGTGAAGACAGAGTTAAGGAGAAGCCCTCTCTTAGAGACAAGGCTCCTGGTCTTGTTTTATCATTTAAAAAAGACCCAGAAGTTATTTTAGGACACCCAAGTTAGTTGTTGGAAAGCAGTTTGCATTTCAATGATACCCAGCTGAATGCTGCAGCACCGTGCTGTTGACAGGGAGACTCTGGGTAACCTGATCTCAGCAGGAAGAAGTGTGGGCTTGGAGCCTAAGTGGAGCGAATCTCCAGGCTTTGTAGTGCATTTCCCCTTACAAAGGAACTCATTCTCAGGCCCTGTAGACATCCTGTTCTTCCTAATGGCTGTCCCCTGTGACTTCCCTCTCTCTTTTAAAATGCCTGAATACCTCCATTGTTAGCTGTACAACAGTTGGAGAATAATTTAATAGACCCTTGCAGTCTGCTTGTCTGTCTGAGAGGCATTCAGGACAATATTGCAGGGTTTCTGGTATTCACATGCCGAGGCGAAGAATGTACACATTAAGGAGGGTTTTTTTTTTCTTTTTTGTGGGTAGAAACTTAATACAAAAGTTCTCTTTGCGGGAACCATCTGAAATATGTCATTGTGTTCAGTGTACATGTTTATCTCGGTTATACATTTTCCTGCCGCCTTTAGGGCTCAACTGCCACACACGATTGTCTCTTCATGTTCCTTGATTCAGATTTTAGGCTGAGCTTTCGCAGAAGGTGGTTTTCAGTCTAGTGAGACCTTGCCTCTCTTTTTGTGTTCACAGATGAAGCCCGAGGCAAAAACTGCGGTGTCTTGGTGCATTGCCTGGCAGGCATCAGCCGCTCCGTCACCGTGACCGTTGCTTACCTTATGCAGAAGCTCAACCTGTCCATGAACGATGCTTACGACATCGTCAAGATGAAGAAATCCAACATCTCCCCGAATTTCAACTTCATGGGCCAACTGCTTGACTTTGAAAGGACACTGGGACTCAGCAGCCCCTGTGACAACCGGGTCCCAGCTCAGCAGCTGTACTTCACCGCCCCTGCCAACCAGAATGTCTACCAGGTGGACTCCCTGCAATCTACGTGAAAGGCACCCAACTTGCCTAGCTGGGAGTGTCCCATTCCTTCAGCAGTTTCTCTTGGGCAGCAGTGAGCAGGCTGCTTTCTTTGTGTGTGGCCCCAGGTGTCAAAATGTCACCAGCTGTCTGTATTAGACAAGGTTGCCAAGTGCAAAATTGGTTATTACAGAGGGAGAGATTTGCTCCATTCTTTCTTTTGGAAGGACAGGACATGCTGTCTGGATCCAGGCAATAGGTTTGCTCCTCTACCCCCAGCCTACCCAAGCAGGGACTGGACATCCATCCAGATGAGGAGGGTAGGACCAAGAAGTAGGGTAGGGGCATGTGTTCTTTAGGGCCTTGTATGACTGTTTCCTGTTGCATCCGGAATTAACTCTATATTGTCTTCAGTGAAGACAGATTCAACTTTGCGTACAGTGGAGCCAAAGAGATTTTAGCTCTGTATTTGTGGTATCAGTTTGGAAGATTAAAAACAAAACTGATACTCTTCTTTGATTATTGTAAATATTTGATCTTAAATCACTTGACAGTGTTTGGCTTGTGTTTTTGTTTTTTTTTTTTTTGTTTTGTTTTTTATCTTTGATGGGTTTAAAAAAAAAAGTCCAAAGGGGGAGAAAGAGCAGTGTGTGCCACTTCTTAAAATGAAAAGAAAACAAGGAAAATTTTGCTCTTTTCTAATCCAAAGGGTATATTTGCAGCATGCGTGACCTTATTGTACCAATTCTAAAGATGTTGTCACAGATACTATCGCTGAGACTTTATTATGGTGCAGTCTTGAGTCTCATATATCTTCCTTGTGATTTTTTTTCCTTAATGTACTTTGACTCTGCCTTACCTTTGTAAATATTTGGCTTATATTGTCTCAAAGTGGGTATCTTGGAAAGACACCAAAATTGTGGGTTCACTTTTTTCTTTTTTTTTACCTTTCTCTTCCATTTTTACTTCAGCTGTGCTAAACAGTATATTACCTCTGTACAAAATTCTTCAGGGAGCGTCACCTCAAATGCCATACTTATGGTTGGTTTCTTTCCTTTTAGAAAAAAAATATATGATAAACTGGAAATGTGTGTCTGTGTGCGTGTGAGCATGGGTACCCATTTGACAGGTGGGATGCAGCGGGTTGTGGAGGCGGGAGGATTAAGTTGCTCCGTGATGTTCACAGTGTAAAGTTTTCAGCTGGAATTTATTATAAGAATGTAAAAAACCTTAAATTATTAATAAATAACTATTTTGGCTACTGAATGCGTTTTTTATTTTTAGATGTCTCCCTAGTGTATGAAGTAACTCATTGAAGTAGTGGGGACTGATGAAGCTTTAGTGGTGGCCAAGGCAGGGTTACTTATTATGAATGCTTTTCCAACACAGTTCATGAATTTAATTTTCTTATCAAGAGGACCTCATGGGTATACTGCGTCATACATACAGATAATGTTTATGAGTAGTTGAGGCTTAATTAATGTTTCCCTCCCCTGGGAAAATGAAGTCCCTAATATATGCCTTGTAAGATTTGGCTATCCATAAATTGCCAAAAAAAGGCTGTGCCAGGATAATGGCAGCCACATGTTAACCTCTGTCCTTCAGAATCCTCTACTCCATAATCCTTTGGCATACCAGGAAGGAACTAGAGATAATCATTTTTTTCCAGGCTGTCTGGTTCTACTGAAAGTTATCTAGCAGATGCTAAAGTGGGTCCCTTGTTTTATGTACATGACATTCTAATGGCATCTTGGTTTTCTCGTGGACTTGGAAGTGATCGTAAGTGTTCACTTGGGTGAAATCTGCTTATGTGCTTAGCTGTTTTAGGACCTCCACTGCACCTCAGTTATAGACTGTTGAGGTTTCCTTCTGAGCTGGGCATCCTGTGTTTTTTTGGAGACTTTTTTTCCAAGCACGGAAGTATGTAAACCAAAAGTGGAAGGCATGTGTATTAGAATCAAAAGTGCTAGGCATAGATTTTAGCATCTCACACCTGAGCGCCATCATTTTGAAATGGGAAAATGAGCTTTTCACCTAAGGGGGACACAGGGGACATCTGTCTGGCTCTTTGGTAGACTGCATGCCACTGGGAAGTGGCTTTCATTCTATAAGCATCCTGTGTCAACCTGCCTGGGAGTGAATTTTTTTTTTTTAAGCGACTAAGTCCAAAAACAAAACTGCAGAAAAGTAACGAAGTCAGGCTCCTATTTGGGTGTCCCAGGTCAGCAGGGACCCAGAAAGCAGAAATGGATGGCCGTTCAACTTGGCTCCCGCTAATCCTGCTCTGAAGGGTTTCCGTTCCTGGCATTCCCTAAACTGCCTGTTCAAAGTAGGGATTTGCTAGCAGCGCGTTTCCTGTCCAGCTGCAGCTCAAGTAGCCGAGTGCTTTCATTCCTCCTTTTCGCTGATTTCTTTTCTCTCTTTTTTTCTTTTTCTGCAGGGGTGGGGGGGTTGGTGGTGGGGGGGGCGCTGTGGGTAATTTTAGTGCATTCCCCCTTCGTTGTTCATCATCTCTATCCCTCCCAGAACTTGCAGACACTGAGAGTTCCTACTGCTGGGCTCAAGCCGACAGCTGGCCTCCCCGGCACTTCCTCCTGTTTCACTGCGGGTTTGTTGTTTGTCAGTCCGCTTCTGAAATTAATAATGTTTTCTGGCCAAGTGCCACAAGCCATTACCACAAAGGGGAAGTAACACATATGAATAGCAGGAAGCCGTGCAGGGTCACAGTGTGAGCTGAACCTGTGGAGGGAGCCTAATTGAGCCCGGGTCCATTCAGCAAATGTCTGAGAGGGGTTTGGGGAGACTCGGGCGCTTGCAGCATTTAAGCAGCTCAAGCTGTGAGGTAAAAGACCTTTCCAATAAATTGGGAGCAAATGGTCTTTGTCGCCGGGCTGAGCAAAGGAGAGCCAGCGAGAAGAGTTTAGGGCTCCCGTAAAGTTGCAGTGTTTGGGGTTCCTCCCCTCCTGGCATATTGTTTCGTAAGGCTGCTGAACGCAGGGGTGCCTGCTTCCTCTATTCCCACAAAAGGGTTCGTGTTAAAAGGGCGATTTTTTATGGTTCACACAGACTAGAAGATTCAAAGTGCTGTGTTCTTTTCTGTGTTTCCTCCTCTGAAAGGTGGGAGCTTGTAACTACAGCCTGGGCCCTCAGCTCACCCTGCCTGCGCCTCTTTTTCTTCCTGTTACCCCTGTTTGCAAGGAGCCAAGTGAAGGCTATCATTTTCCTTCTCGGAGTTGGGTTGGTTTCTAGAATGGAGCCCTCACCGTTACTAGGGCAACCTTCGGCAGCGGCTGCAGCACTACAGGCTCCTTCGTTTGCTGTCCCCATTAGTACCATCCTCCAGTCTGGGAGAAAGCACTACCTTCTGGGCCTAGTGTTGGGAGGAGCGGGGGCCCTTGGAGGAGAGGGGGTCGTCTGCAGGTTTTGTGGGCACTGCAGAAACCTCAGGGCGTGCAGCGGTTAATGGTGTGAACAGATTTTAGGGTTCAACGTGGAAATAGGAAGGGTTGTCTGGGGATAAGGATACCGAAAGCCTTCAGAGGAACGAAAAGAGAGATTTGCGTGGACCTTAAAATTGGAAGGGGCGAGGTGCGTCTCTTGTTCTCTCACTGGTGAAAGGAGTAGCCATGGGCAGCCCCTGAGGTTTTTTTTTCCCCCTCATCTGTTAAGTGAGTGAGTGCTTGGTTTGCATTCCAGCATTCCAGCAAATGCTTATCTTAATTCCAACCTTCTGGTGAAGGGTTGGTGACACTTCCTGAAGGGTAAGATGAGAAGGGTATGTGTAACTCCATGATAGAGGTACCACATACTGTACAGGCGCGTGTGCTGGCCTTTGAGGCTCTGTCTACTTTAAACTGCTAGTCATCAGTACTGGGTCCTCTTTACAACATCCTGGGGGCACTGGATAGGAAGTGGCGCCTCCATTTTACAGCCGAGGAAGTGGAGGAACCAGAGGTTGCCTGACCTGGATGCCACAGCCGAATCATGAAAGGCCAGGCTGCTGTGTGTGTGTCGCCAGAGATGTGTCAGTTCATCTGGGAGCTTCTTTCCTTCCTCTCCAAAGAGAAGTTGCCCAACCCCGGGGCCGATTAGCACATCAATTACAAAACTGAGGTTCCTAAAGATCTCTGGCTAGCACACTGTGCTAGGACTGCTGGACCTGGCCCTGACCCTTGCTCATACCCCTCCCCCAAGGGAGGGAGACTTCTGAGAGCAGCTCACCTCCTCCCTCTTGAGTCCTCTGGCAGAAATTTGTGGGAGGAAGCTAGGGTGAGGGAGGGCAAGAGAAAAAGTGGAGATCTGTAGGACAAAAGGCAACAAGCCGGAGAATTAACCAGTGCAGGCAATGGGGTGGGGTAGACAGGGGAGAAGGACCCAGAAACAGCAGGTCCCTGTGGTGGCCGGCTGTAGGACAGAATTCTTGAAAGGCCCTTAGAAAACCAGTCTGCAGACCTTATGAGGCTTCACAAGGATTGCTTCGGCAGTCAATTGATATGCAGTTCCTCCTCGCATGCACTTTCCCAAATATCCTGCAAGACTTTCAGACATTCACCCCTTGTGTCCGGGCTCTCACTTGGCGCAATTGGCTCTGAGGGGGCCCAGTTTGGGGAGCCGGATCTTTGAAACGTCTTTAAAGTCCAAAGAGAATTGAAGGGCACAGAGCAGAGTTCAAACAACTCACAAATATTTATTCAGCCCTTGATGTGCGTTGGTTTGATGACACAAGGTGAAAATAAAGGACGACCAAAGACTTTGACGGGAGTCCTCAAACGCCAAAGGCAAGGCAGGGCTTCCAGGTAGCACCGTGTCTCGCTCTGAATGCTGCCCCAAATCATAGGCCTCTCTAAGGACAAGCGGACTCCTTGTATGTTCTACTTTTGTTTCGGTCATGCAAACAACATTTTATAGCTTGTATTTTAATGTTTACAAAGGAAAGGATGAATAGCCTACACAGATGCAGTTCGACCCAACAACTTACCCTGACAAAGTAGAGGTGTGTGGCAGAAAGGCTTGGAATCACTGTGTTTTCAAAGGTGAAGTCTCAGAGGCACTGGGAAAATGAAACACTCTACGTACTTTGATAATGACATTCTGAAAGATACCAAGAAAATTAGCAACAGTAACAACAAATTCTATTGTTCCTTTTCTGTTAGAATTGTCCCTTTCTGGCTTTTGGAGAAAAATCTAAATTTTGTTTTGTTTGTTTTGGTTTTACTTTTCTGAGACAGGGTTTTTCTATGTAGTCTCCTCTGTTCTGGAACTTGTTCTGCAGACCAGGCTGGCCTCGAACTCAGAGATCTACCTGCCTCTGCTTCCCGAGTACTGGGATTAGAAGTGTGCACCGCCCAGCAAAAAAATTACATTCTTAAAAAATTTTAGTTGTGGGGCTGGAGAGGTGGCTCAGTGGTTCCGAGCACTGATTACTCTTCCAGAGGTCCTGAGTTTGATTCTCAGCACCCACACAGTAGCTCACAACCACAGTTCCAGGGAACCCTCACACAGACATACATGCAGGCAAACCACCAAGCCACATAAAAATAAATAAATTAAGAAAAATTTTAGTTGTATTGGGGGGTTGAACCCAGAGTCTTTGCCTATTGGGCAAGGTGCCCTACTACTGAGGTACATGCCTAGTACATATTGACTGTGTATGTGTGTGTGTGCACGCACATACATGTTTGTATGTACATGCAGTTGTTCACAGAGGGCAGAAAACAACCTTGGGTGTTATTCCTCAGGTCCTATCAACCTTTTTCCTTTTGTTTTCCTTCTCTTCTCCTCTTTCCCTCCCTCCCTCCCTCCCTCCCTCCTCCCATGTCTTCCTTCCTTCCTCTCTCTCTCTCTTTCTTTCTTTCCCTCCTTTCTTCTCTCTCTTCTTTCTCTCTTTCTTTTCTCTCCTTTCTTCCTTCCTTCCTTCCTTCCTCCCTCTCTCTCTTTCCCTTTCTCTTTCTTTCTTTCTTTCTTTCTTTCTTTCTTTCTTTCTCAATGGCCCAGAGCTTGTCTTCCTCTCCAGGATTAGGAGAACTGTACCACCACACCCGGTTTGTGAGTTCTGGGGATCTAGCTCAGACCCTCATGCTGGAAGGCCTCACTGATAGAGCTATTTCACCAGCCCCACACTGATTGCTTTTTATTAATTCCAGTTTAATGCCTGTTGCACGCGCGTGCGCACACACACACACACACACACACACACACACAGAGAGAGAGAGAGAGAGAGAGAGAGAGAGAGAGAAAGAGAGAGAGAGAGAGGGGGGGGAAA